GGATTACCAACGCTGCACTCCGACAGCTGCCCCATAGAGTCCTAGTAGAGCTTGGTCGACTCTACAATGGGATCCTGCGGACATCCCACTTCCCGGAGGACTGGAAGAAAGGCAAAGTTATCGTCTTGCCGAAACCCGGGAAGGACAGGCGTAGAGCTGCCAGCTACAGGCCGATCACGCTGCTACCACACATAGCTAAACTGCTTGAAAGATTGTTGCTAAGACGCCTCCGCCCGTGCATCCAACTTCGGGCGGAGCAGCACGGATTCAGGAGGGGTCACTCTACAGCAACACAGCTGACCAGAGTGCTGCACCTGCTTGCGGCCGATTACAACCGTGGCCGCACCACGTTGGGCGTCTTTCTCGATATCGAGAAGGCGTTCGACAGGGTGTGGCATTCTGGATTACTTTTTAAATTGGAAGAACAGACCAGTGTCCCTCCTGCTATGTTGCGGCTAGTGGCGTCTTTCCTGGCAGACAGGAAGTTCTACGTCTGCGTAGAGGGCGCCGAGTCCGCAACCAGAACCATCAGAGCCGGCGTTCCTCAGGGCAGCTGTTTGTCTCCAGTCCTGTACGCGGCTTATACCAACGACATCCCTACCCTGGCAGGCAGGCTGCAAGAATGGGAGGACGACGTGGAATTGGCGTTATATGCGGACGATAGCGCTTATTTCACCTCTTCCAGAAGAGCCCATATTGCCGCTGCCAGGATGCAACGCCTCCTGGACCTGTTGCCACCATGGCTAAATGAGTGGAGGATGGTCGTCAACGTTGGTAAGACGACCGCTCTGCTCACTCGCCGCCTCATCAACCTACCACCTCAACTAACCCTCAATGGCCAGCAGATCGCGTACGAGAAGGCCGTGACCTACCTTGGGTGCCGGATCGACCGGGCGCTGCGCATGACTGCGCACGTCGACCTCGTCGTCCGTAGAGCACGATGTGCGCGGGCGATGCTACGTCCGGTCCTGGCATCCAAGTTACCACTTAACACCAAAGTGCGTGTATACAAAACCTACATCAGAGCCATTATCACCTATGCTGCTCCGGCCTGGTACGCGCTTCTGAGTGAGCCTCTGAGGCGGCGACTGCAGGCCCAGCAAAATATGGCGTTAAGAACCATCGTCGGTGCGGGTCGCTACGTACGGAATGACGTAATAGCGGCCAACCTGAAGATTGACACCATACAGGAATTTGTGGCCCGATTGGCGCGCGGACTGTTCGACCGTGCAGACAACGGGCCGCACATACACCTTAACAACTTTGCGCCGCTACACACTCGCCCTCCGGACGGGCGACCCTATCCAAGAGAACTCCTCTCTATATCGATTAGAGAGTCGAGTAACAACCCTCAATGCCGCTGAAAGGCCAACTCCGACCTCATTAGATAACCTTCCTTTTTCGTAGTCATAACCGACTACGAAATGATTACCGATAGCGACAATCCGTTTTTTACACCTACAACGCCAATAGAAGGCTCCCAGGACCGGTCCATAGTAGTGGACCGCGAGGACAGCACGGGTAATGGGGGCTTACCCCGAGGCCCGAAACCTCCATGTGTGTAACACACGCATGAAGAAGACATCAATGCACTGAAATCTGTAAGATGGTGCCTAAACACAAACAAATACAAAAATCATCATATAGATCAGATTATAAAATTATTAAATATGGTGTTCCACATTGTATTTTAGGCCCACTTTTATTTTTAATTTATATCAATAACCTACCTCAAGCTACGAAAGAAAAATGCATTCTTTTCGCCGATGATACAACCCTAATAATAAAGACTAATGACATAAATAATTTTAATAATCAAATCAATGACTCTATTTCGCCAGAAAGAATTTGTAGTACAAAAAAAATGTATTCGCGCTGTATGCAATTTGGGGTAGGTACTGTGAGAGTTGTAGACCCATTTTAAGAAATTAAACATTCTTCCCTTACCGTGTATGTATGTGAGGGATATCTGTTTGTTTGTAAGACAAAATTTAAATTTATTTATAAAACAGTCTGATGTAACACAGAGGCATACTAGGAACAAAAATAAATTATTCTTGCCTAAATCAGGCACCTCATTCTTTAACAGGAATGCTCTCTACATGGCAGTCCGTGTATACAATCGTCTGCCAGACACAATAAAGAATGAAACAACTCAAACGTTTAAACGAAAGTTGATAGAATGGCTTCTCAGCAAGTGTTTTTATAGTCTTTCTGAATATTTCAGTAACTAATTTTGTTTGTAAAATTATTATTTAATTAATATAATTATAATAGTAAAAATAGGTGACCATATATAGCAATTTGACGATGACATGTATTATTACTGATTTTCTCTTTGACATATTTATGACAATTTGTATAACATCTATCCATAATTAATTTAATGATTTCTTATATTTACGCGAACATTGCACATGATTAAAACTACTTTTACGGATTTTATCGCGTTTATTTTTTCTTACTTTTTATTTTTATTTTTAATTCCCGACGTTTCGGGCGCTTTCCAGCACCCATGGTCACGGGGGACTGAGATGACTGACGTCCCGATGTCATTGTTAAACCCGGAGTACCTTCAGCTTTTTTAATTATTGTTTATGGTCCGATCTATGCAAAATGAACTGACTATGTCCTGAGGTCTTGCAGTGGTATGCTTGGGTTTAGTTTTAATTTTATTGATTATAGGATCCCAAGCAGGTGGTAGTACCCAGCCTCCTTCTCTATTGAAATTAGGATGTTTTTTAATTTCAATAGCCTCACGTATCATCCTTGGTAGGAATCGGTGTTCTTTCGCGAGGATTTGTGGTCTATCAAATCTGATGTAATGGTTGGGGCCGTCTAGGATATGATCACAAACTGCAGACTTCCCGGAACGTTGATGCTTCACATCAGCTATATGTTCTTTTACGCGGGTCCTAATTGATCTTTTGGTTTGTCCTATATAAGAGAGACCACATTCACAATCAAGCTTGTACACTCCTGCATCTTGTAGAGGAATATGACACTTGACGGATGGTAGGAACTGACTAATCTTCTTCGGCGGCTTGTAGAATGTTCTAATAGAAGCTCGCTTCAAGATATAGCCAATCTTGTCTGTGACACCTCTGACATATGGTAGTACAGCAGGCACACGCTCGACTGTGGCCGGCCTCACTCGGTCACTGTGACGTAGGCGCGGGACCCGAAGCTTGTTGTCGTGCAGAACTTGCTTGACGTGCCGAAGCTCGGCGGCCAGGTGTTTGCTGTCACAGATCCCTCGTGCTCTCTGTAACAAGTGTCATATTCCTCTACAAGATGCAGGAGTGTACAAGCTTGATTGTGAATGTGGTCTCTCTTATATAGGACAAACCAAAAGATCAATTAGGACCCGCGTAAAAGAACATATAGCTGATGTGAAGCATCAACGTTCCGGGAAGTCTGCAGTTTGTGATCATATCCTAGACGGCCCCAACCATTACATCAGATTTGATAGACCACAAATCCTCGCGAAAGAACACCGATTCCTACCAAGGATGATACGTGAGGCTATTGAAATTAAAAAACATCCTAATTTCAATAGAGAAGGAGGCTGGGTACTACCACCTGCTTGGGATCCTATAATCAATAAAATTAAAACTAAACCCAAGCATACCACTGCAAGACCTCAGGACATAGTCAGTTCATTTTGCATAGATCGGACCATAAACAATAATTAAAAAAGCTGAAGGTACTCCGGGTTTAACAATGACATCGGGACGTCAGTCATCTCAGTCCCCCGTGACCATGGGTGCTGGAAAGCGCCCGAAACGTCGGGAATTAAAAATAAAAATAAAAATAAAAAGTAAGAAAAAATAAACGCGATAAAATCCGTAAAAGTAGTTTTATTCACATAATTAATTTTTTATAGTTTTGTATTAAAATTTTATGTCGAAATTAAATTAAGACGATTTAATATTTGTACGCCTATAAAAGAGGCAGAATAAGTGAACTTCTGTATTAGATTTAAGACCATTATGTATTACCTTATTCTGAGAAATAAATAAATAAATAAAAAATACACCCCTCCACCCCTCCCTCGCCACACGCTTTTTATTGCTAACTAGGACTATTACCGTTTAGAAGCTCCAATTAAAATATTTTTATTTTTGTATGAAAATAAAAATTGAAGAAATATTTTTTTTCTTACAGATGTTGTTGTTATGGTGTAAATAATATATTCCCCAAAGGTCTTCAGTAAATTAAAAATTACTATTAACAAAATAACTTAACCATATGACACGAACACTTAAGAATACCTAATGAGTGAATGGTCGTTGTTCTAATATTACATATTATAGTCTACATTGAACACCAGAAATTTCTCTAAAATCGGTTATGAATGAATTGTTTAATTTCTAGTGCGTTTGTATACTATTAAAACATCAAAACCTAATCACTACGCAAAGGTCATTTCGGAATGGCCTTTAAATGTTGGAAAACTAATTTTGCGTAATTTTTGTATTACTTGTGGTCTCTCACCACATTCTATTAATAAAGCTAAAATGAACATTCGGGTGCTTTAATATTTTAGTTGCTTTAACGAAGTAAAAGTCGCATATTTTGAACTCGTTTGCATAACTATTTTACTACTTAAATCATACCAAATTATTATCTTTGATAGGTTTCTCATTAACAAATTTTTTACGCATTTGATATCATTTTTTAATCTAATTATTACAAGAAATGTAAAATATGCGCTATAAGTTTGAAATATATAGATACTACTACTACTAATATTTGTGATCTATTAAATCTAATGTATGTTGTATGGTATGTACTGTTGGGGCAAGAACCCGCATGATGATGGAAGTCGATTTTAAGCTAAAGGGATAGAGCTGCGTAATATATTTATGCAATCAACGTATGTCCATCTCTGTAAGACGTCACAATGTGTCGATTTTTAATCATTAGAATTTGAATTTTAAATTCCGTTATAAAGCTAGTATTTACAGTACCATTTACCTTACTCCTTACCTTTTCAGATTTATTTTCAAAAAGTGCAATACGTATACATGCAATAAATCATGGAAAAGGGATTCTGCAGCTATCCCTTTCCCAGGATTCAGTGTGGGTTGATAAAGAGTACCTGCAGCTATCCCTTTCCCAGGATTCAGTGTGGGTTGATAAAGAGTACCTGCAGCTATCCCTTTCCCAGGATTCAGTGTGGGTTGATAAAGAGTACCTGCAGCTATCCCTTTCCCAGGATTCAGGGTGGGTTGATAAAGAGTACCTGCAGCTATCCCTTTCCCAGGATTCAGTGTGGGTTGATAAAGAGTACCTGCAGCTATCCCTTTCCCAGGATTCAGTGTGGGTTGATAAAGAGTACCTGCAGCTATCCCTTTCCCAGGATTCAGTGTGGGTTGATAAAGAGTACCTGCAGCTATCCCTTTCCCAGGATTCAGTGTGGGTTGATAAAGGGTACCTGCAGCTATCCCTTTCCCAGGATTCAGTGTGGGTTGATAAAGAGTACCTGCAGCTATCCCTTTCCCAGGATTCAGGGTGGGTTGATAAAGAGTACCTGCAGCTATCCCTTTCCCATGATTCAGTGTGGGTTGATAAAGAGTACCTCCAGCTATACCTTTCCCAGGATTCAGTGTGGGTTGATAAAGAGTACCTGCAGCTATCCCTTTCCCAGGATTCAGGGTGGGTTGATAAAGAGTACCTGCAGCTATCCCTTTCCCAGGATTCAGGGTGGGTTGATAAAGAGTACCTGCAGCTATCCCTTTCCCAGGATTCAGGGTGGGTTGATAAAGAGTACCTGCAGCTATCCCTTTCCCAGGATTCAGTGTGGGTTGATAAAGAGTACCTGCAGCTATCCCTTTCCCAGGATTCAGTGTGGGTTGATAAAGAGTACCTGCAGCTATCCCTTTCCCAGGATTCAGTGTGGGTTGATAAAGAGTACCTGCAGCTATCCCTTTCCCAGGATTCAGTGTGGGTTGATAAAGAGTACCTGCAGCTATCCCTTTCCCAGGATTCAGGGTGGGTTGATAAAGAGTACCTGCAGCTATCCCTTTCCCAGGATTCAGGGTGGGTTGATAAAGAGTACCTGCAGCTATCCCTTTCCCAGGATTCAGTGTGGGTTGATAAAGAGTACCTGCAGCTATCCCTTTCCCAGGATTCAGTGTGGGTTGATAAAGAGTACCTGCAGCTATCCCTTTCCCAGGATTCAGTGTGGGTTGATAAAGAGTACCTGCAGCTATCCCTTTCCCAGGATTCAGGGTGGGTTGATAAAGAGTACCTGCAGCTATCCCTTTCCCAGGATTCAGTGTGGGTTGATAAAGAGTACCTGCAGCTATCCCTTTCCCAGGATTCAGTGTGGGTTGATAAAGAGTACCTAAGTATTTTTAGGACTCAAATAAAACGCATTGATTTATTTATTTATTTTTTAAATGAAAGGACATCTAAAAAAGATTATAATTGTCTTAATTGGTCTGCTGCATGATGATTATATGTAGCTTTTCAAACTTGTTTAGCTCATCAGACTAAGCGATAATATTTACGTGTTTGTATGTATTATATGTATTATATTTATATGTTTGTGTGTATTACGTGCGATTGATATACATTGATGTCTTTTCTATTAATTAAATCTTTAATTATTTAGTCTTCCTGTAGCTTACTTTTCTATATTTTATGAACTGTATTAGGTTCTATTGCGTGTGTGCTGAACGCAATAATATATGTATTATGTTATGAAACAAAACGGCACAGTGGGGAAGGGACGGGCCTAAGCGAACGTTACGGACGAGCATGCATGCGTAGGTATATGGATGTGGAGGAGGCGGGAAAGGTGTGTCAGGATCGTGAAAAATGGAAGTCCGTAGTCTCTGCTTACCCGTCTGGATGACAGGAGAGTGTGCTAATGTGTGTGTGTATGTTCAGAAAGACTCATAATTGCGTTGCAAAACAATAATGCCATTGTCAATGTCGCCAGTAGCCTAATGGTAGGGTGCGTACTGTAAACTCAAAAGGTCGTGGGTTCGAATCCGCTATTCGACGACTGTTGTGAAAGACCTTACACAATTTTTAAGCTTATCAGAAGTGGTTACACGCAATATTAGTAATGTGATTTGCATTGCTTGCTTTATTTTCAGAAAATAAAACTTAGCCTATAAAGATGGGTATGTTCGCACAAATTATCTTCTTAACAATTATATTTTAAAATATGACACAAACGCAATTTTTCACAATTTTGGCGAAAATAATATAAAAAATTCAACATATACTCTTAAGTAAATCTTTTCTTCATTCTTGTTCCATAGTCGCCTTTTCAAATGCTTCTTGCAAGGTCTTATTTTTTCTAAGTTGTAACGTCTCTTGAGATAGTATACGAACATTGTGAGGACTCTCATGCGATATTTCTTGATTAAAGTTTTGTGGAAGCGTTGGTGTAATGTAGAAGCTGCGTGATGATGAAGGGCGATTAATTAACATTTGCGAAGGAGAAGTATAACAGTATAAAGTAGGCTGTTGATCAACAGGTAACGTCTGATGTGATCTCTCTTGATTGAAATTTTGTGGTGGCGTTGGTATAGTGTAGGAGCTACGTGATGATGAAGGGCGATTGATTATTATTTGCGGAGAAGTATCCGAGTACAAAGAATTACTGTTAAAAAATGGGTGAGTCCGGAGAAGTAATGTTTCGTAGGAGCGATTCATGTGAGTACGAAGAGCTGTGTGCTGATGAACTGCGATTGTAAATAGAAGGCAAAATAATGGGTTGAAAGTCTCGGCCGCGGCAGTGACGACGTTTATTTAATATTAATCCATGTATTTCGTACATTATCTCTTCTCTTTCGTCTTTAGGGAAATCCTTGAGCAGTTTTGCCAGAAGTTTACAAAACAAATCAGCGTCATCGTTTTATTTATCTGCCTTATTTTTCTTGTTCAGCAACACAATATTTAATGTATTGAATGTAGCGTTCATCTGCTTGCTGACTTCCTGTAATTCCGGCGGGTTTTTTGCTCGACGTTTCTGTACCACTTTAGATTTAGTAGCAGAGTTACTGTTCTCTAAAGTAGCTTGTGAGGCACTGTATCCTGCTTCGCTATTTTGCACTTCAGTAGTACTGCTACTTTCCCCACAATCAAATTCATCAATGCTTGTAATATATTCCTCCATGTCTTGGAGTTGGAACAAAATAATGTTTATTTATATTTTATTTATTTTTTATAGGATAGGGTGACAAACGAGCACACAGTCCACCTGATGGTAAGTGGTTGCTGTGGCCCACAGACATCTACATCTATCCTCGATTACGAATCAAAATGCAGATGCGTTGTCACCCGTGAGGACTAAGATGGAATGCCTCGTTTCCAGTAAAAAGAGTTTCCGGTTATCTACACTCACAATACACAAGCAAGAAACACAGCAGCATTAAGCTACTATTTTACGCTGGTATTCTGTGAGAGCGTGGTCCTTTCCCGGTCGAGCCGACCCATTCGTACTACAACTATACCCCTAATATAACTGCAGCGTGGCTCTACCACGTAAAAATATATTTTTAAATATATATATGTGACCGTTTTTTTTCTTCTCATACATATGTTTGGCTACTGCTAAATTTGACTAACTCTATTGTGCATTTTTTCAGATTCCAACAACCAAGGACGAGTGGTTATCTAAAGCAGAAGGTTTTAGTTTCCCCAACTGTATCGGCACTTTAGACGGAAAACATATCATGATTCTACCACCACCGCATACTGCCTCCGAATACTTTAATTATAAAGGGCATTTCAGTATTGTGCTTTTAGCGCTATTTGATAGTGACTATTGTTTCATGTTTGTAGATATAGGTTGCCCCGGGCGAATAAGTGACGCAGGAGTATATAATCAAAGTGTTTTACGACAGAAAATTGAAACAAATAGCATCAATTTACCACCTCATAATGGTACCACTAATTTGCCCTATGTATTTTTAGCCGATTAGGCATTTGCACTGAGTACACGTATCATGAAGCCATTTGCTGGACATTAGGCACTAGGTACTCCAGAGAGAAATTCAATCAGGAACTGTCTCGCTCTCGTGTATTCGTAGAAAATATTTTTGGTATTCTGTCAAGCAAATTTAGAATTTTTAAAAGCGGTATACCCCTTGACGAAGTAAAAGCTTCTAAAGTCACAATGACATGCGTTTTGTTACACAATTTTCTAAGAAAAAGCATTTCTTCTAGAAATTCTTACACCCCTCCAGGCACAGTAGACAGTTTTGTTTTTATTTGTTTAGCGTGGATCCTGGAGACGTAACAATAGAGAAACGTGTATTACTCCATTGGACGCTGTACCTCGTACAATGAATGCGCTTGAAACGGGAGTAAATTTTAGGAAATATATTTATGAAAGACGAAACCACAGTCAGGCATAAACTGCTTAGACGCACCTATAGCGTTTAAATTGTCATGTTTTATATAATAATAATAAATTAAAAGATATAAAATTTTGTTTTACTTACATTTTCTTCACTATTGCAGATGCTTTTCCATCCGTATAATATATCCTTTAAAAACAATTCCATCGCAGCATAAGGCTTGAACGCGTCTGCTTCTCCGACACCTGACTTCAACGATTATAATTTCTTTTTTAAATTATTCCTAATGCATGTCAATAAGCTTTCTTTTTTTCTTTAGTTCATGCATTGGTACACCATCGTATCTGCAATACGTTTCCAAGAATCGTTGATCTGAAATAAGTTTGAAAACACAATGTATCTCACAAGTAAAACATATTATATTAAATTAAATTGTTTAGTGCGATTGCGAAATCAATCTATTTATTTAAAACGTAAAAGATTTTAAATACTGATATAGTCACAATAACATGTTGTTAGGTTAGCTAGGGACTTAATAAATTAACCGACTTGATATTTCATGGATCTCACAACTTTTTACGATAGAAGAACGTTGCGAGACCAAGTTTTTTTTACAAGTTATGTCTTTAATGGTATCTCTTTTCTTTTTGTAAATAGTCATACTTCCTTTCCGGTACCTTCTACTTCTTGAATACCAACAACGTACCTATCTACACCTATTATTCCGTTACAATATATGTACATATACAGGTACACTGATTCAATCACTGCAAATGTAACTTTGTAATCCTATATATTTATATGGGATTACAAAGTTATTTATGCAGTTAATTTATCGAGAAAACTGGACCGAAATTGCAAAATATTTTAGTTTTTTCGTGATTTATACACTAAACAATAATTTTATTCCAAATTTGAAGCTTCTTTGTCTGCTATAAGTACCTTAGAGTTTTGATGATCGGTCAGTCAGTAAGTGACAAAATTAAGAAATTGACTAGTTATAATTCTTAAACTACTGGTTCGAATTGAATGAAATTTGAAATATACCGTGTTTATACAATGCCTTCTTAGTCACTGAAAATCCAGGCTTCTAGTTTTATCCACAACGAAGTTATAGGGGGTCGAAAATGGCCTGAACTGCTTCAAGAAAAGGATGGTAGGTACCTACGGTTTATTTGCTCGACTTGGCGGGGGGCACTAACGTGCTAACCCCCAGATCGAGGAAATAAGAAAAAATAAGATAAATATTGTTTTAAATTTGAAAGCAATGAGTTACAGCGCTAAGGGCCGCGGGTTCGAATTCCGCACGGAACAAGTATTTGAATGGCCTACTAGTAATTGTACCGGGTCTGGATGTTTGTCCTTGTGCAATTTATGTTTATAAATTATCCCCAAGATACACGAAAAAATTCTAGTGTTGATGTAACGTTTTAAAAAATGAATTATTTTATAGAATAAGGGTGACAAGCGAGCGCACAGTCCACCTGATAGTACATAAGAGGATGAGCGATGAGGAGCTGTGCCCGTGCCTGTGACATCTACATTTTTTCTCGATTAAGAATCAAAACGCAGATGCGTTGTCACCCCTGAGGACTAAGATAGAATGCCTCGATTCCAGTAAAAAAAAAAGGTCACCGGATCTCTACACTCACCATACGAAACACAGCAGTATTAAGTTGCTATTTTACGCTGGTATTCTGTAAGAGCGTAGTCCTTCCCGGTCGAGCCGGCCCGGCCCATTCATGCTACAACCATAACATAGTTGCAGCGTGGCTCTGCCACGTATAAAAATGAAAGAAGTGAAATTAGGAATGATAATACATAATACATTAATTGAAGTTGATCATTATATAGCTTTGAAATAAATTTGTCGATACGATACAGGCGCCCCCTACAGTAAGTCAACTGTACTATGCCTATAATGTTCGCGCAAATGCAAGCAATAGGATGTCAAAGTTTTAGCATTGTCTGATGAATTGTATGGCAGCGCAAAAAATATGAACAAACAAATACAATTTTTTATAATATCTTAATAGATTACGAAATAAACAATTTTGTATGTAACCCCGAAATTTTGCAAACAGCATAGTAGGAGGCATGTGCACACGTTATTAGATTATTATTATTACTAGACTAAGTTAGGTACTTACAATGTTTTTATTTTTGTGATTTTTATTTTTTGGGTTCTACAAACAATTTTCCGCTTGGTATAATTCTATAAAACGAAAAGTTTCCTCACTGGTCATTGTTGCTGCCATTTTATTAAAAAACTAGTTACGTAAATATAAAATTTAATTAGGTGCGATCACTCTGAAAGCTCGTTCGTCGCAAACTAAACGCGCGGCCAACGTGTGGACGCGGCGACCAAACTGCCAACAATCCTGTGATCTTTTGTAAAAAACCGACACCACACGAATCTCGCGCAAACTTGCGGGCCATCGTTCCAATTCCAATACATACCAATGAAGCCCAAACACCCCGTCTACACGGTGGCCAATGCTATTGGCCACTACATTCGCCACTGTGTTGGCCAACGTGTAGAGGCGCCGTAAGTAGGCATGCCAACCATACTTTATAATAACGTATCCTACTTTATTTTTGGTAATTATACTTTATACTTTTACATACAAATAAAGTATGCAAAAATACTTTATTTTCAACCTTTACTGTGATGCGTAAAACATACTCATCATGGGTACTTAACGATTTATAATTGCTGAACGAAATGTTACTTATCTTTACGATTCACGCCAATAGCGCCAACAGTGATTACGCTCGCGACCATGGGCAGCGTTAGCGTTGTCATCAGCGCGCTTACGGTTGATTCGGAACGGATTATTGGCGCTGACACCGCTGTTGGCGTGAATCGGAAAGGCCTATAAGATGTCAGTTGTAACGTTTGTCACAGATGTCTCTCACTATCGACGAAATTGTACAAAACTGGTCCTTTAGTTTTGTTTATAAGCGAAGAATGCATTTTAAAGTAAATATTAATGCTGAAAATGACGAGTAATTCTGATAGCGACACACCAGTGACTCCTAAAGAATCTAAAATAACTAAAAAAAGTAATTTATTTAAATTTAAACGTTGATTGTCAAACAAGCTTTGTAACATTTAAAGACAACAAAAAATTGTTAGCATGTGCTAAAAGCACACAAAAATACGTGTTTAAAGCAATAAAAACATAAAATTTGAAAAATACTTTTTTTTCTTCCTAATACTTTTTTTTTTCTATCCAAACCACTTTATACGTTTTTTTTGTCAAAAAAGTTGGCAACCCTAGCCGTAAGGCACACTATAAAACAATGTCGGATCATCGGACAATAAACTCTCGGCATTTAATCATAAACCCGAGAGTTAGCAAAAATTATTATTTGATAATTATGCAATTATAATAACATATTAGACATTGAAAGCCTGAAGTTTACCCTTTTGAAGTCTATAAAACGCTATTGCGATATAAATGACATGTAACGCCATCTCTTGGTGGACTGTCTCACTAATTTTACTGCGCAGTTATATTTATTTATTCATAAGCTTTATTAAATTGCTCAGAAGCATGCTATAAAATGGAATAGAATAGAATATTTTTATTCAATATAGAATATAAATAATTTTTATTGCAAGTAAAACTACTTTAAAAACTTGTTTGGAAAAACCCCTGCCCTAAGGACTACCAGCAAAAAACTATAACTGACGAAAAACATGCAAAGGTATACGTGAAGAATAAATGGTTACTAATACAAAAAAGGGTGCGTGTAACCTTGACGCGCGATTGAAATAAATTTATTAATATTTAGAAACATTATTACT